GTAGGGAAATACTCGAGATCACTGTTCTCCTGAAATTGTATGAAAGAACAAAAACAATGTTATTTAAGTTTCTCAAGGAAACCAAGATTCTGACTCTGTTGATGTAATTTAACTCATGATCACTTAACCAGTGATTACATTTCACATTATCTTCATGTTTTCATGTTATCTTCCTGTATTTTCTTCAGCCTGCTTTCAACACATGTAACACAACACATACACACTGAACAGACCAACTGTTTAAATAGCATGTATGGGGGAATTCCCTGGCGATCCAGTGGTTAGGATTCCACACTTCCACTGCAGGGGGCCCAGGTTTGACCCCTGGTTGGGAAGCTAAGATCCTGCAAGCTGTGCGGTGCAGCAAATAAATATATACCTACATACATACATACGTAGATAAATAAATAGCATGTATGAAATAAAAACAGATTAAATTCTCTAAATTTAAGATCATACATAAGTTGAATTCCTAGTAATATTTCATCATCTGGGTTTTTCTGAAAATACAAAAACTCGGAGAGCTAAGCTTTTTTCATCATTCAGAAAAGCAAGCCAGTGGAATTTGCATTTTTGAGGCTTTGTACGCAGAGAGAATAATTATTTCCACACAGTAGGAACAGTTGAAAAGATTTTAACTTTTTCACAAAACTATTTCCCCATTTCTTTCTGGCTCAAGACACCCCATTGCTTTCTGACTGACCAAGGTGCAGCAAAATTTGCAGCAGCCAGTGGGATTCCAACAATTCCTGGAGAACAGCTGGTTACAGAAAGAAACAAAAAACGTCTAGAAAACGAAAAGCATGAGAAAGGTGCTCAGAAACCAGACTATGAAAAGTAAGTGTCATCTGTGGCTCACATTTTTGCAAGTTATTCAGATGTGAAAGTTTGACTCATGTCTGGTTATCCACGTTTCTTAAATAAGTCAAATATCACTTGGTCGTTTCAGTTTTTGTACAAAATAGTTCACACTAAGTAATGGAAAAACTGCTCTTTTGACTGTGAAATTTAACCTCATTTATTACTCCTATGAATAGTAACTCAAATTCAGCTAAGAGTTCCTTCTCCAACATGATTTAATAGATGAATGCCGTGTGTTAAGGTATTAATTACCTGCATACTTCTTGATCAGTTTGTTATCTTCGGTACACTGCACAGGTTCTCTGTGATGTAGACCACCCTATGAACTTACCTAGGCACCCTTTCACAGGGCAGATAAATCAGTACAGCCCTTATAAGTGAATTAATCATGTGTTCTGAATTATGGTTTTCTGTGTTACCAATTCAAAAATACCAAGTAAAAGGACCTTAATTTAAAGGAAAATTTGAAAAATAAAATTTGATTGTGGCTTGGAGGTTTATAATGGAATATAATCTATTAACTCCACATACCCTTTTAGATTTGTAATGTTTAACCAAAGGTATACTTTCGTATCACTTAGGGAGCTTTTTCAAAATCTACATGTCTGAGCCCCTTCCCTAAAGAATCTAATTTAGGGACTTCCTGCGTGGCCCAGCGGTTAAGACTCCAGGCTTCCACTGCAGGGGGCGTGGGTTCGATCCCTGGTTGAGGATCCCGCATGATGCATGGTGTGGCCAAAAAAACAATCTAATTGAGTAGAGCTGAGGTGGAGAGGCCAGGCAAGTCCATTAGAAAAAAGTTCCCCAGGTAATTCTAGTGTGTCCCCAGGTTAGGAATCTGTTTTACAAGATTGGCCATATGTTGGTAGCTGTTGATAATCTTTACTGAGTGTGCTATTGCGTCTATAGGCTAAAGTCACAGGAATGGAGTTGCTTTATCAGTGGTTCATGTACATTTTAATAGATGTTGCCACATTGCTTTCCAAAAATTCTGCAACAACACACATCTCCACCAGTCAGTACTGCTCTTCGATGTAAGCAAGAGGGGCTCCTGCCCTGGGCCCTGCACTTTAGAGGACCCTCATATCACAGTTACACAAAACAGTTGGTCTATTGCAGATCCATGGGGCATCTCTGTCACTCAGCAGTGATACAGCATTACCCATAGCCCTCATCATCCGCTCTTGTGACAAATATCATTCAGCCCCCAGGGAAGTGCTTCTCTGCATCTCTTGCTCTATGTCTTGGAAGTAAAGACCACCTGAGTCAAAAGGTTTGTGGAATATGCCACTGCTGACATCAGAAATAGACCCTGTTTCGGAGTGTGGGGAAGACTTGAACAGCAGAAGGACTTAGGTAAGAGAAAAAGACAATAATTTGTCAAACAAATTCTTGCGTAACGAAGTGTTGTTTCCCAGTAGTGCACAGTGTCCTTTTTCTTTCTGCATGTTTCAGTTTGTGGTTCTGGAGTTATTCATGAATTAGTACAATATCTGCAAGACTTGCACGTGAGGGCTGATTCCTGTTACTCTTAAATTTGTAGATATGTAGGTCTAGACCAGCACTGTCCAATAGAAATCTGAGAGCCATATATGTAATTTAACATTTTCTAGTAACCACATTAAAAAAAAGTAAAAAGAAACGAGTGAAATTAATAACATTTAACCCAATATACCCCAAATATTATCATTTCAACATGTAATCAATGTAAGAATTTATTTATGAGATATTTTACATCTTTTCATGCTAGATCTTCCAAATCTGCCATGTATTTTAGGCTGACCGCGTGTCTCACTGTAGACTGCCTGCATTTCCAGTGCTCAGTAGCCACGTGCAGACAGTGGCTGCTGTATTGGACATCACAGGTATAGACAGAACCTGCATGAGGAACCAATTTTTTATGTTGGCAACTAAATGGGCACTGAATATTAGACTTATGAATGGTTTTATTCTTATAAAAATACTTAAGGTTGAATTAAATTTTTTTAAATGTTGAAATTTTTAACTTTTAAGTAATTTTTATTTAAAATGTTATATTCATTAATTATAGTTGATGTTTAGACTTTAATATTAATAATTTTGTAAATTTTAGGAAAAAACTAATTTTTGAAATTATATCTGCAAATTCCTTTTATTCTTTTGGGGGGGATTTGCCCTTAATTTTGATGAAAATATATTCTAATTTTGTACACTCTCAGTATAGTTACATTTCACTTTCTAATTCCTAGATTACTGAAAATGTGTACAAGTCAAGATTTTGATAGAAAAAGAATACTAAAGTGGAATTCACAAAAGAAAAAAAAAGCTAAAAGGAAAAAAAGAAGTAAAATATCTTCAAAGAAACAGTCTGCTTTAAAAGTAGGCACTCTTAGGGCTTCCCTGGTGGCGCAGTGGTTGAGAGTCCGCCTGCCGATGCAGGGGACGCGGGTTTGTGCCCCGGTCCGGGAAGATCCCACATGCCACGGAACGGCTGGGCCCGTGAGCCATGGCCGCTGAGCCTGTGCATCCGGAGCGTGTGCTCCACAACGGGAGAGGCCACAGCAGTGAGAGGCCCGCGTACCGCAAAAAAAAAAAAAAAAAAAAAGTAAGCACTCTTAGACTTCCCTGGTGGCTCAGTGGTAAAGAATCCCCCTGCCAACGCAGGGGACACAGGTTTGATCCCTGGTCCGGGAAGATCCCACATGCCACAGAGCAACTAAGCCCGTGCCCCATAACTACTGAGCCTGAGCTGTAGAGCCCGCAAGCCACACCTGCTGGACCCGCACGCCACAACTACCAAAGCCCATGTGCCTAGAGCCTGTGCTCCAGACCGAGAGAAGCCACCACAATGAGAAGCCTGCGCACCAAAATGAAGAGAAGCCCTGCTCGCTGCAACTAAGAAAGCCCACGAGCAGCAGCAAAAGACCCAATGCAGCCAAAAAATAAATAAATGAATAAAAATTAGAGAAAAAAAAAAGTAAGCAGTCTTCTTCCAGGATGACCCACATAAAATTCACAAAGAGAACATTACAGACTCTTTGTTCAATGAAGATTTAATTACTTATCAAAACAATAAAAATTAGTAGGAATAGTTCTCACCAAATCCACAACTTGAGCAATTCAGATGAAATCCCGACAACTTCATGTTCTTTACTAAAGGAAGATTTAATTGCTAATCATAAAGCAATTTGGTGTAATCATACACCAAAAAAGGACACGTGCAGTTATTAGAAGCGCTGGGAAAAGGCTGAATAAACAATAGACAGTTGATAACTAGAAAAGACAAAGATAGAAAACATAGATGTAATGTTCTTGAAAGAATAATATTTGGACAAGTGTAATGGTACTTTTCATGACCCCATCAACACGGAAACAATGTCTATGGAAAACAATGGGAAATTTCTAGGGTTAATAAAAATTATTTCAAGCTTTGATAAAATGCCAAAATGTAATTAGGAAAAAAACCTAATGATAAGTATCTAGGAGAGAGAATTCAAACAGGTTAGTTTAATGGGTAATAAAGCAAGACATTAAATCATACATGAAGTTTAAAAAACTCAGTTCAACTAGAGTGTACCATGATCAGAAAACATGTTGAAAAACTAACATTTAGAAGGGAAGCCCATGATAATGGAGCTAACATGGTAGGTAAATGAAAGGTATGTAAGCACGAACTTTGGCCAAGAGTCCAGAAGTATCCTGTGTGACACGGCCAGCTCACCGTGAATTTGTTTCTAGGAGACAGGCCCTCAGCTGCACCAATACTGACGATGCTGTGAGACGGTAGAGGGTCCACTGCAAGATACTCTAGATGTGGCCGAAGGTGGAACAGCTTGATTAGACTCACATCTGACCTTATAAGAGACCTCAGAGAGGGAGCTTGCCTGGTGGCACAGTGGTTGAGAATCTGCCTGCCAATGCAGGGGACACAGGTTTGAGCCCTGGTCTGGGAAGATCCCACATACCGCGGAGCAACTAGGCCCGTGAGCCACAACTACTGAGCCTGCGCATCTGGAGCCTGTGCTTCGCAACGAGAGGCCGCGATAGTGAGAGGCCCGCGCACCGTGATGAAGAGTGGCCCCTGCTTGCCAGAACTCCAGAAAGCCCTCGCACACAAACGAAGACCCAACACAGCCAAAAATAAATAAATAAATAAATATTAAAAAAAAGAGAGAGACCTCAGAGAGACGTGGCGGGAATTCCAACTAAATGCTGTTGAAGTAATGAAATCGAACTTAGATAAGAAGAGTTCAGCAAAAATCGCAGAAGTTCCTTAAAGAACACATCACGGACTTTGACAGAAAGTGAAATTAATTTTGAATTTGCACTATCTGCAGTTACTTAGTCTGAACTATTCCTCTCCATTGGTAAGCTTAACAGAAGCTTTAAAAAAAAATCTAAGTTTGGCTATTACATTTATTAAAGGATTAAAAAAAATTTTTTTTTAATTTAGAGAAACAAAGCCAAAAGTGCATGGGAAATATGCAAGAAAAATGACATCCGCAGAAAATATAAGGAAATTGAAACAAAGGAAACAAAAATATTTGCCTAACTTGAAGGAGAAGCTTCATGTACAGATGACCCTGAAACCAGTTTCTTTAGAGGCTGTTTTTCTGTTCATTATAAATCGAAGCATAAGTATCATTTGTAGAGAGATTTGAACAAGATCAAGCAACATACTGCTGTTTTCAATTTTCTTTGTAATATACCAGCAATGAAATTTGAAAGAAGAATTTAAGGTACTCTGCATTGATTTAAACACTGCTTAAGAGATGACAAAAATGACCATAGTAAGTGATTGTGATTTAAATGATCAAATTAAAATACTTAGTAAAATCTTCTGTGATAACAATTTATCAAACGTAACCCCATGTAACATTTGAGTGTGGTAATGTAAAAATCAGGATTCATTTCCAAATCTAAGTATTGCTTTAAGAGTTTTATATGTAGTTCCAATGCTACTGCCTCAGCAGAGTGGAGCTTCTCCAAGTTCAAATTAATTAAAAACTTCCTAAGAACTACATCGCTCAAGAACAGTTGTGTTGGGCTTCCCTGGTGGCGCAGTGATTGAGAGTCCGCCTGCCGATGCAGGGGACGCGGGTTCATGCCTCGGTCCGGGAGGATCCCACCTGCTGCGGAGCGGCTGGGCCCGTGAGCCATGGCTGCTGAGCCTGCGCGTCCGGAGCCTGTGCTCCGCAACGGGAGAGGCCACGACAGTGAGAGTCCCGCATACCGCAAAAAAAAAAAAAAAAGAAAAGAAAAGTTGTGTTACTTGTCACATTGTCAGTAGAATGCATGTTACGTGGAAATGTTGATCATAAGAACATGATTAATGCCCCTTGAGATGAAGGCAATGAAAATTAATTTTATGGAATAAATACGTAATAATTTATGATTGTATATGTGTCTGTGTGTGGTTTTTTTCCCTACTCATCCAGCCATCACCAGCTGATCAACAAAGGATACAAATGTGCTGCATGTTAATAAATTGTCATCATTGGTAGTTGGTCAGCTTTCAGTCAAATGAAAACCATAGCTTTACAGTATTTCTCAAGATACATTTATCACAGTAAGAGGATAGAACATCTTTATTATTTCTAAATATTACATGTGTGTGGGCCTCCATTTGCCTGTGTATTTTTGCCTCAACCCCTTTCTTGTACGTGTTGGGGGGCTGCCACCAGCAGTGACAGGGTACCTCTTTCCTTATGTGGCGGGAGGGGCTCGCGTCACTGCCGTTGCTCCTCCCTGACAACCGCCAGCTTGGATACTTTGCATTTGTTTATGGGTCATTCTTTTCCGGGAATTTGCCTATTTTTGTCCTGTGATCATTATTTCTCTTTGGTTGTTTTGTCCTCTTCTTATGAATCTTAAGTCTATCTTCTCTGCTAAAAAAAAAATTCCCAAATCTGTTGTTTTTATTTGCTTTTACTTTGCTTATGGTATTTTTGCCATTTGAACGTTTTTTGTGATCAGTAGTACTCTCCCTCTTCTTGTGTAGTTTGTAAGACCAGAAACTTAGGAGCCATCCCCGCCCTGAGACATACAGCTGCCTAGATTTCCTTGAAGAATTTTGTGTTTTATATTTAGGTCCTTAGCTATCTGGGTTGGCTTTTGTGAGTGATAGGAGATAGGGTTCCCGTTTCCTTCTAATAGTATACCAGCTTTCTCTTTCTAGTCCTTTGAATGCCAGGCTACATCTCTAGCTACAATTTAGCCTCTCCATGTGATTGCCTAACAGATACCTCAAGCTTTTGTCCAAAACTAAACTTGTTTCCCTCCCCAACCCCACTCCACCCACACCACAAAGCAAAAAACGTCTTCCCAGTCTTCCACCTTTCAATAAATGTTTCTTGGCATCCTTTCAGTTTCTGCCTCAGATTTCTCTCTCTCACATCCAGTCAGCTGGCAAATTCTGTCAGCTCTGCCTTCAAAATGTCCCAGGTCCAGCCTCCTTCCCACCCTCTCCTCTGGAAACACCCCGACACAAACCACTGCCTCTCAAGCCTCTTAAGGGGTCTCTGTTTCCTCTCTCATCTCCCTCGGTCCACACACAATAGCCAGAACAGTTTTCCCAAAATGACTCTCCGTAGAAGCATAGCACACATTCCGGGTGCATAGATCATATATGGGGCCCTGGATGAGCTTTCACAGGGTGGACACACATGTAATAAGCACACAGCCCGACACACCCCTCCTCCGTCACTGCCCTCCCCGCAAGGAAACCGCCTGCCCGGCTTCCAGCACCGTGGGCTAGTGCTGCCTGTTTTTGAACTTTATCTGAGTGGGATTGTGTAGTACGTGCTTTTTTGGGTGCCTCTTCTTACGTTTCTGAGATCTGTCTGTCGTGTGTAGTGGAGTCCACCTTCACTGAAGCATAGTGTGTCACAAGTTATTTACTTGGGTGGATGTTTGTGTCATTTGCAGTTTGCTGTTATTACAAGTAGTGCTGCTGTGAACATTCTGTACACTTTCATGGTGAACTTAGCTCCACGTTTCTGCTGGACAGAAATGTGGGGATAAAATGGCTGAGTCGGCTTTAGGAGGCCCTGTGGGTGGCCTCCCAAAGTGGCCGTGCCAGTCCACATGCCCGGCAGTGAGTGAGGGTCGCGGTCCCCGCACCTCTGTGCCCATACTTGATACCGTGTCTGTTTCATGTTAGCCGTGCCGGTGATGGGCATGGTGGTAAGAATGGTTATTTTTTAAACTTAACTCATCTCGTGACACTTCTCGGTTCAAACTCTCCAGCGTCTTCCCACCTCACTCAGACTAAACGCCCTTCCAATGGCCTGTAAGTAGGATGACCATGTGATTCAGTATTCAAACTGGAACTTAGCTTTGAGAGTGAAAGGGGCACTATTAATTAAGCCGGGACAACAGACATAAGTCAGGACGGTCCTGGGAAACCAGGATGTACAGTCACCCCACTTGTCAAAGCCTCATGGTCTGCCTGCTGGCCGTCCCTCTGACCCTGCTGTACGCTCTCCCTGGCTTTATTCTCTCCAACGACAGTGGCCTCCTTGAAGTTCCTTGAACTTGGCAAGCATGTCTTGCTTCAGGAATGTTCTTCCCCAGCAATCAGCATGGCTTACCCTCACTCCTTCAGAGAGGCCCTTAGAAAGCAGCACCTCTCCACCATCACGTGTCCCACGTGCTGCTATAGGCTACAGTTTATTGCTGTTCAGTAAAGCCTGACATTCTTTATTGCTCTGTCACCCTGTGCCCCAAATGCAAGCTCCGTGGGAGAAGGTACTTTGTCCGTTTAGTTTTCTGCTGTGTCCCAGCATTTAGAACCGTGCCTGAAATATAGTTCACTGTAGAACCGGGCTGGTGGGTGTACAGCTGTTAGCGTACAATTGCTTCAACTTTTTTTACTTGCAAATTTATAATAAAATGTTAGAGAAAAAGTCAACTTATTTTGTCTTCATAGCAAAAGCCCTATGAAACGGGCAAAGGGGTGTGCGGACAGGCAGCAGCAGCGTCACCCGGGCGGTTGTCAGAAGTACACGATGTTGGGTCCCATCCTGTACCTGCCAACTCAGGGTCTCTGGATGGAGGTGCTGAGGATCCGTGGGATGCTGATGCACACGAAAGTTCGAGATGCACTCAATTATTTGTATCCCCATTTTATAGATGGGAAAAATGAGACACGATAAAACTTAACTCAATCACCCAGCTAGAAAATGGTGGTGCTGGGATTGGATGGACCCTTAGAGCTGAGGGCTAAAGGTATGTCCAGCAGTCTAACTGACATGTAGAATGTAATGCAAACAGGCTTTCTTTGCAGTTTCCGTGAGTGGGGAATGCTGGAATCAAAGTGTGTCCCATGTGCCATTAACATAGAAGTGTATTAAGCTACCCTGTCACCTGTAGGAGTGTCTCTCATCTTCAGCCACTCTTTGTTGGTTTTTTGGCAGAAACTTGGGGACCGTGGGTGCCGTTGCCGTGGACTGCCGAGGAAATGTGGCTTACGCGACCTCGACAGGGGGCATCGTCAACAAGATGCTGGGCCGCGTCGGAGACACGCCGTGTATAGGTGGGATGGACGGATGATCACTGCCCCTGCCCTCCCCCCGTCCTCTCGTCCTCGTTCTCTGGTCTTCGCCTGACCCCCACGCCCACTTCTTTCTTCCTTCATTTCCTCCTCCTCCTGGTGGCAGCTTTAGAATTTCTGGGAGTGGTGGTGGGTTGGAGGGGGTTGCCCAGGGCACGTGGAGAAGGTGGCAGGTCCAGCAGGCACCTGTTTCCTAGATGCTATGTTTTGGCGGGGGGGGGGGGGGGGGGTTGGAATCGTGCTAGGCTGGGCTCGGGGCGGTGGGGGGGGGGCGGGGGCGGTCAGAGGGGAGTGGGGCATCGGCCCTGGCCCAGGAGAGCTCAGGTCTGGTTGTTTATTTGTGAACTCAGAGATGGCGGCTAGGTGCCAGGAACGGTGCTGGGTGCTGAGGGGGGGGGGGGGGGGGGGGGGGGGCGCGTGGAGGACTTGGCAGGGAGGTGGAGTTGGGGTAGTGAAGCCGCCGCAGCACCCCCGGTACCTCTGTCTTCTCTCTAATCCGTTTCAGGATCTGCAGACTATTCCCAAAGGGTTAAGTACATGAAACCTTTTTCCAGGCATGGGCTCAAATGAGCAAACTAAGAAAGCTGAGAATTTAAGTTTGCGGTCATTAGACCTGAGTTGGCATGAGAGCGGCACACCACCACTAGAGATATTGCACGTCAAAGTGTTCTTTGCGTTAACCTCGGAGCACATTATCTTAATTCCCGGTGGTGGGGGGAGGGGCGGGGTGTATATGTCTTACCCTGTGCGCTGGGTGGATGTGCTGGGGTCAGAGGAGGGGCTGCCCTGGTGTCGCTGCCCTGGGAAGGCTAGACCTGCCTCCCCTACGTGCCCTCCATCCCCATCTCAGGGTATTATTCACACGGCGCTCACTAGTGCACCTTGGCGTTTAATATTTATGTAGCATTAGACTTGTAATATGTGTTTGAATTTCTTGACGGTTGCCACTCAGTTAGAAACAATTCCCTTCCTTGAGCAGGATCTGGAGGTTATGCTGACAATGATATCGGAGCCGTTTCAACAACAGGGCACGGAGAGAGCATCCTGAAGGTGAATCTGGCCAGACTCACCCTCTTCCACATGGAACAGGGTACGTGGAACAAGGCCGTGCCGTCTGACTGTGAGGGGATAGGAGCTGTTTATAAATCGACGGAGAGGGTTGGGAAACCCTTTCTTGTTTGCTACAGATGTTGCTTTCAGGTTAACGCCCCTTCTGTTAGGGTCAGGAAAGAAGAGCATTTGGAAAACTGGTTGCCTTCTGCCTCCTGGGGGCGGTAGAGAGACTCTGAGCCTGCGTGTGGGAGAAAACGCAGCTTCATCCAGTGCAGGGAGGGCCTTGTAGGGTGAGAGTCCTTGTTCGAGACATGGAAATAGAAATCACTTACTAAGAATCTTGGTTAAGACGCTTTGGTTTTTCATACTGTAAATAGTTTTCCCATCAGATTCCTTTCAGTAACTTGTGTTGTTTCTCAACCTCTCTTTGTTTTCAGGAAAGACGTTAGAAGAGGCCGCTGACGCGTCGTTGGGTTATATGAAGTCAAAGGTCAAAGGTGTAGGTGGTGTCATCTTGGTCAACAAAGCAGGAGACTGGGCGGTGAAGTGGACCTCCACATCCATGCCCTGGGGGGCCGCAAAGGACGGCAAGCTGTACTCTGGAATTGATCTTGGCGACACCAGCATCACTGACCTGCCCTAAGTCCCCGGAAGCTGTATTCTAGAAGCCAAGACTTAGCTTAATCAATTAGATCTAGAAATGGAAAATTCTGCAGTCTGTCATTCGTTTTGTTGCCTTGATCAGTGTTTGGTTGGGGACAGATTCCGAAGTGATGTGCGACATGCCCATGTTAGGATCAAATAAGACTAGTGAAGATGACAAACTCGCTGAGCCTTCCTCGTGAATACTCCCCATCATCTGAGGTTAGAAAGAAGAAACAGCATGATCTTAACAGGACAGAAACGGCCTCAGTGCAGGGAGTGCCTTTTGGAATTGGGGGACCCACTGCAGTGACAGAGGCTGTAGGCGCGAGGGTGTGGGGGGCCCAGAGGAGAGCAGCGCTCTGGGGCAGGACCCAGTGCTGGGACAAGGTGGGGGGACAGTGAAGGGGAGACAGGGCAGCAGAGCTAACGGATTGGTGAGTGTTGCACGTGAACGCTGCAGAGCTCGTTCTGAGCCAGGAGAACATTAGGTAAAAGAATCTCTGAGAGAGAAAGTGATTTTTTTAAGAAAGTGCAGATCTTCTCTGACTTACTAACATAGGCGTGTGTGTTTCCAGATGCTTTAAAAGGAGCCTCTGGTAACCCCTGGCTCTAATCTGCTGATGAAGTGTCGTCATGGAGACTCTGGAGGCCCTCCAAGTCTGAGGGTTTTCTCAGGCTCACACACGAGCCTGCTCACCTCGTGTTTCCCCCCAGCCATCCTCCGCCTCCCAGACCCCCGGCTCCCCATGATGAGCGATGGGGGTCGCGACCTCTCCGCCTCTGCTACAACAGGGAAGGGCCAGTCAGTATCGAGATGACCCTGACTTAATGGCGTCCATGACTGTCCAGTGCTGTGGGTTCCCCCAGCTGAACCAAGTGTCCACTGTGGTCAGCACGGTGAAGAAAGGCATTTCCTTGGTGGAGAGTATTCCTGTTAACCTCTTTACACTGGAAATGGTATTTTTGCTGTGACATATCTGCTCAATTTTTTAGTCTGTCAGGGCTTACCTTCTCTCTGGAAAGAAATTGCTTCACTTTAAAGTCCATGTGCCACTAATAAAATGTATTTTGAAAGAATAACAGCGTGGTTAGGAGTCACTGTTGACAAAGACCAGAATGTACAGGAGCTCCCTTGGTCTGTCAGTTCAGACAGGTGAACTCGTTAAAGAGAGCTTTCAGCATAAGTGTGGTTGTGTGGATGTGATAAGACTGCCTGCCTCATGGAGAATACTCGAGAGTTTTCAGAAGAATTGAGTTTTTTCGGGATGGGTTAAGGAAGAAACCAAACCACCATTGCAGGAATCAGCACGGCTTATGGATCCAGCTTCTCGCGCTGGCCGTCCATTGCACGAGACAGTCATGCAGTCCAGGCCCCTGTCCCCTGACCTTCCCTGTGCCCGTGTCAGCTGCCCTAAGCCCGAAAGAGAGAGCGAGAGAGAGAGAGAGAGAGAGAGAGAGAGAGAGAGAGAGAGAGAGAGAGAGAGAGAGAGGTGGCGCTTGGAAGCAGAATGGATCCTGCTTCTCCCCACGACCTGGGTGACCCAGGGCAGGTTAACTTCTGAGAATTTTGTCATCTAGAGAGGACAGCTGCTCAGTGTTTATCTCCAGATCCTCTGGACAAATAGAGGACATGTGGCCAGGCCCAGGAGGAAGTCCATGTGGTTCCGTCCTTGAACACCTCAGATGCAGCAATCGTCCTTTAGAAATAAGTACTTTGTTAGCAGGTGTATTCGTTTGCTAGGGCTGCACACGTGGTGGCTCACACGACAGACGTTCCAGAGGCGGGACGCCCCAGGTGCAGGTGTCAGCAGGATAGCTTCTCCTGAGGCCGCTCTCTCTGGCTTGCGTGCAGCCTGTTCTTTATACGAGTCGGTGGCCAAATCGCCTCTTCTAAGGACACCAGTCACATGGGATCAGGGCCACCTAACGGCCTCATTTTCACTTCTTAAAAGGCCCTGTCGCCAAATACCCGGGGCTTAGGGCTTCAACTTAGGGATTCTGAGGGGACACAGTTCGGCCCCTGACAGGAGACAGAGCAGGACTACATTAGGGGTTGGGAAGGGAGAGACTTTTGCAGAAGTAACCATCCCCGAGTGGAGAAGGGAGAAGGGAGGAGCGGGGAGCAGAGCCTGGTTCTGCGCTTCTCGTTTCTGTTCATGAGGGAAGTGGATCTAGTCACCAGGGGCCGCTGGGGCCTCAGCTCGGGCCACTTGCCCCCTTTGGTCGGGCAGCCCACTTAGGGAAGGGTCCCCAGCCCCTCTGTGTGAGCCCAGGAGCGTGTTGTTGCCCTCGGACCTTGGTTCAGTGAACGGTCACTCCACTAGCCTGGGATCCCATATGTGGGGACCACCGGGGGTCTCTCCCGCCCCCCATGTTGCCAGGCGGCAGCTCCCTAACTGTCCAACAAATGTAGGCTCACCGTAGTGTCTGAAGGGGAACGACAGCCTTTTATCCCTTCTCTGCCACAGGAGGGCAGCAAACCACACACTGTCCACCAGTTTCAGCCCAAAGGGGAGAAAACTCATCTCCGCTCTGAATCAAATCAATCTACTCAGAAATTTTGGAACCGCAAGGGGATTCCTGTTCTGACCTTCATTTCATTTAAATACTATGATTTATTTTAGAGCACAGTTGTCCAGAAAAACAAATGTTAGCAAATGCCCCACAGAACGCATCGAAATCAACCACGTCTCTGACTCTTAAATCAGTGAAGCCTGCTCTGCACCTGCTGCCGCGGCCGGCAGCCCCTTCCAGCCAGGAGGAGGGTTACACAGTAATAAGGAGAATATGGGGACCCAGAGCCAAGAGCAGGTGGGTGTCTGCCGGGAGCAGCTGAGCCCACCTGCTGAGCTGGACGGAACAGTCCTGGGAAGGAAGGGCCTTAACTGTGTAGCTGTTGGGCAATAAACGTTTCTTTCAAGTAATGTCCGTTCCAGCCGTGTTCCTCTCTAGCATGAGAGGTTATGGGCTCTGAGGGCAGAGGGGGAAGGAGCAGGCTGTGTCGCCCTCTCCTCAGAAGTGGGAGGCGTGGGGAGCCCGTGGGGACACCGTCCCTCCCGCCCCACCTCTGCCTTCACCCTTGCCCAGAACCGTGGCTGCATTTGGACAGGCGGTGGCAGCTCTGAGGGGGCAGGGGGCAGCCCGCAGGGCAGCCAGCTGAAGGGCGTGTGGTGCCCTCTGCCCCCTCTTTCACTGTGTGCGAGGGACCCAGGAAGGAATGGGCTGGGACGGGGCCGGGCTGGTGGTGGGCGCGGTGCCCAGCAGTGGTTCCCTCTGGGGCACAGGTGCCATTAGAGAGGCAGGCCGCCCGTCCAGCTCATCCACCCAACATGTGTGACCCAGAAGAGCTGGGCCACAGGCATGCAGCTCATCTCTTGTGAGGGGTTAGCGTGCCGGGGGAGGCTCAGGGACGACAGGGCTCTGCTGACAGATGAAGTAAGGCCCAGAGAAACAGGTTTCCCGGGGCATTCGTTGCATTCCAGTTAAACCGAGGTTTGTCTTGGCCTTTCTGGTCCCAAACCCTCTGTCCCTGGGTGACGATGGCCTTCTCACGTCACGCGTGGCACCCAGCGCGCCCAGATGCAGGTAGGGGCCGTCCCATGAGCGCTCCGGGTGATGAGCAGAAAAGAACAGCACACGTAACAACTCCATCCTTCAAATTCTGCTTTTCTTCCCCAACCCACGATTAAAATAGACTTGGATTTTCATACAAAGAGACGTTTGGGCCAGGCCTGGGCTGGGTTGGTAAAGGAGACCAGGCTGGGATCCTTTATTTTTTTAAATCACAAATCATCTCAGAGTCAAGTCTGTTTTTTGCTCTGCAATTATTAGTACTTTCTGGATCCTAGGCCAAACTCAGATGGGGTTTGGGTTCTAAGCTCTGGCTGGGAGCAAAGGAGCGGAGAGGTTAGTTCTTCCTGTCCCGTAGGCCGTGGCTCCATCCACGACTCAGGCAGCCCCAGGGTTGTTATTTTTCAGGGTAGCAATTTTTTTTTAAATTTTATTTATTTATTTATTTATGGCTGTGTTGGGTCTTCGTTTCTGTGCGAGGGCTTTCTCTAGTTGTGGCGAGCGGGGGTCACTCTTCATTGCGGTGCGCAGGCCTCTCACTATCGCGGCAGCAGCCTCCCTTGTTGCGGAGCACAGGCTCCAGACGCACAGGCTCAGTAATTGTGGCTCACGGGGCTAGTTGCTCCGCGGCATGTGGGATCTTCCGGGACCAGGGCTCGAACCAGTGTCCCCTGCATCGGCAGGCAGATTCTCAACCACTGCGCCACCAGGGAAGCCCCCAGGGTAGCAATTTTTACCAAACACTTTTTAGTTAAAAATAACCTTTTAATATAATAAAAGGGGGTATATGTTCATTGTAGAAGTTGGAAAAAAATTGACAAAAAAAAGAATTTTAAGGGTGAGAAAACATAGATCCACAAAAATAAGAAAAAAATAAGGGGAAAAACTTTTTAGCACCCCAGTCTGTATCACTATTAACACCTACTGTGTATTCATTAGTATTTTGTCCAAGATGAGGCCACTCCATGTGCTTTTTAAATGGTTTTTTCAGTTAACAATCTACCTTCCATGTCAATAAACTTTCACCTTTCATACTAGTCAGTCAACATTCAGATGACTCCAGTTTACTCAGAAAACATCACCGACAGCAGTTGTGTCCAAAGCCTGTCCGTAGCCTGGATGGGTGATTGTGCCCTCTGTCTCTCCTCACAGGTCCTACCCCGTCTTAATGGCTCTGGCTTGTTGGGTAGTCAGGACCCCCGCCACACCTGCCCGGCCGTTCAGGCTCCCTCCTCTGCTTCTGCAATGGAAGCTGCAGTGCTGGGCTGTGGGAACAGGACCGGGCTTAAGGTTTGGAAAGGGAAGCGTGGGTTGTGCCAGAGCACAGGGCCCCACCCAGAAATGTGACCAAGAGTGACTTGGAGTGGGTCGAGCAGGTGGGGAGCGGGTTCACCCCATGCAGCCCCCAGGGAAGGCCTGGCCTGCTGT